GACGTTTAAAACATTATTACGGCGTCATTTGAAGTTACCTTCCCTTACAAAAATAGTATTTTTTAAAAGTTTCTTTTAAAATTTAGTATTTCGATTTGTTTAATTTGGATTTTCTTGGATTTTTTAATTTTTTTTGTTTGGATTAATCATTATAACATTTTGTTAAAAATCTAAAAGTAATTATCATTGGTTTATTACATTACATCAATATTTATCGCATATCGAATGTTGTTGCATTGTTTCAATATCTATCAGCAAATTACCCAACTAAGTAAAAATTATATAACTACGTAAAACACTAAGTAAACAAACACTAAGTAAAAATTATATAACTATTATTTGATGTTTGCTAAGTATATTATAATGTATTGTGAACAATATAAGGATACATTATATAAGCATGAATTGTAAGAACATCGTTGGAGTCATCAGAGTCACCGCGTACGCGTTCGATCGTTAGGTTAAGCAACAGTTTAATGTGGTCAGGACATGGATGATGGGTGACCAGTGGGGGGTATACTGCTTGGGATCGAAATTATCGCTGGAGGATTTCACGAAACTTTGGAGTGTATTTTGACAACTTTCAATACGTAGTAGTTTATGAAACATGAGAAAACTAAGAATATATAAGTATATTTTTTAAATATTATGATTTTCTCACAGTAATATCATTGTGATTTTCACCATTATATTACTGTGATGCATTTGCCGCGGACATTTTAATATTACTGTAATATCTTAGTAATATTCCAGCATTATTTCTGTTATATTTCCTGGTAATATTGCAATGAAAATATAATATTGCTGTGATATTACGTGGGGATTTTATTTGAAAATCTTAGATTATTTGATTTCAATGTTACATCACATTTAAAAATTTTTACCGACACTAGGACTCGAACTTGGACCATGATGCATCTCTGGATTATGAGTCTGTTGCTTTAGACACTACACCACTTCTTCGATCGATATAAACGTTTTACATTTTGTCAATATATATTGCAATTAACACAGTAATATAATTTTTTATATAATTTAATAAAATGATTTTAATAAAAATTATATTTTTCGTACTTTTATTGTTTATTTAACTTTTAGATAATGAAGTAAAGTCTACAAAATCCCGCATATTCCGTTTCGTTATTTTTAAATTTTTATAGTAAACATTTTTTTATTATTAGCTGTTATTAAATAGATAAAGTCATAAAAGACTATAAACAGTAATTCTAAAGTGATGTAGTAATTATAATTGTAGTGATTGAGTAATTATAAAAAAGTACAATTTAAAAAAAAGAATAAACCCAACTAACTACATACACACACATATGAAGATTTAATTAAATCAATTAAATTAATTAAATTTATGTATAAATATATAAATCAACGCTTATTATAGGCAATTTCTGAAATATTACAGTGAAAAAGATTTTGATGAAACATTTCACAAATATTTTTGAATTATTTCAATGTTATATTTCAATGTAATTTCCAAGTTATTTTTTAGAAAGCTTTTTGAAAAATATTGTGCTATATGGGAAATTATTTTAATTCGAGTGACTTCTCAAATAGCACAGAAAATTAAAAAAAAATAAAAATTCAGTCATATGTCACCAATTTTGAGTTTATTTTTAGCTGCAAAAATAATTCTTTAGAGTTTAGTGAAGAGAATTCTTTTTGCATCTAAAAATGAATTCAGAATTAGTGATATACGACTGAATTCTTTTTTAATTCTCTGTACAATTTGAGTCAGCTGTCACTCAATTTTTTGAGTGAGATTTTCAATCCAAGAAATTTAGAAAGTATGAACGAAATATAAATTGAGATCATAAATAAGAAATTTGTAACATTTACAGTAAAGGGAACGAAATCATTCTCCATTTTATTCGCTTATCGTCTCTTTCTACTATTTAACTATATAACATACTGAAAAGAGCACTACCTTTCTCTGCCTCGATGAGCGCGAACCGAGAAAGATAGTATCCAAAAGGAATCTCTGTCTTTGTCTATTATGTATTACCTGAGCTAAAAATTTAGCCTACATTGAAAATAACAT